AACACCAGGCCACAGGCTGGTGTTCTGATATTGGCCAACTAAAAATATATAGAAAAAAGTAGCCGGGCATGGTGGTGCATGCCTGTAGTCCCAGCTACTCGGGAGGCTGAGGCAGAAGCATGGCTTAAGCCCAGGAATTTGAGGTTGCTGTGAGCCAAGCTGACACCATGGCACTATAGCCCTGGTAACAGAGTGAGACTCTGTCTCAAAAAAGAAAAAAAAAAAAAAAAAGAGAGAGAATACCAGGCCACAGAGAATCCCGAACTTTGAAAATTCCTGTGTTCTCCTTCTTTGCCTGTGTGCCTAACTATATAGTGGTAAAAGAGAGGCCTTTATTTCAGGGGTAGAACCACAGACCCTACAGCCCAGAAGGGCATTGAATAGATCATCTGATCTCTTGCAGACAAAATAATCCTCCTTTCTTTAATTTGGAAACTGAGAACTAGAAATGTATAGGACCTATCCAAGACCATACATGGTGCCATCATTGCTGCGGGATATTTTCTAGTTGCAAGTTGAGCAGAATATTCAGTCTGTCTCTATTCAGGAAAATGTATACTATTTTGAGACCTCAAAATTTCTCTCCTGGTATACTGGCCAATCTAGTTTTCACCCATAAAGAAAGCATGGAAAGGAAGATGGAAATTTTTTCATGCAAAGCACCTGCATTGCAGTCAGGATGGATTTGGATGACCCTGGGATGGCCTTCTCCCCACAAATATTTGTAGTGTGCTGCTGAGTAGTTTTCTTCTGGGTGGGTGTGAGCATCCTAATTTGCTCAGGATGAATTCAATAACTGAAGCCCTAGGGGACGACTGTTCATGATTCTTACACTCTTGGCTCTCCATTTAAATAGCCTCCTGGTTCTGTCAATTCTAAATGCAGAATGCCTTCATTTTTTTCAGAGGAAAGGCTTGAGTTCTCACAGTGATCAAGGAGGCTTTGCAATAAATGCCCTGCTCAGTGTCTCTGATCTCATTTCCTACTGCTCATAGCTTTGCTCATGTCCCTCCAGCCCCACCAACCTCTCTTTTTCCTGTAGATACACTTTTCTTTCTATTCTACGCCAAGGATGCCCTGCCCCAAGATTTCTTCTTGGCTCTCCTCTTCTTTTAGGTCTGTACTCAAATATCACCTTCTCCCCAAAGTCCCACTGACAGAGTTCCCCATCCACACCTGTCTCTCTCTACCATACCTGACACTCTCTAGGTCTCTTTCCCTACTCTGGTTTCCTTCAGAGATCTTATCACCTTCTGACACATTGTATGCTTGTCTATTGCATCTCTATACCCATTATACTATAAGGCCTGGAGAGAGGATTAGAATACTTGCCATATACTTGCCCATAGCCCAACACCGGCAACAGTGCTGGGAAGCACTGAAGTACTCAAAAATCATATGTTGAATATATGAATGAATGATTCCTTTTCTCTTCTCCTGCTCTATTGCCCTTCCGGAGGCCTTATCTCTTATCGCTGAAACCATTTCAACAGCTTCCTGACTAATTTCCCTGACTTGTTTCCTCTCATTTCTCGTTCACTCAACAGCCACAGTGATCATGTTTAAATGCAAATCTGATCATGTCCCTTCCTTCTTTGAACCCTTCAGCGGCTACCTATCGTCCTTCTTTGCCAGACTCCTATGCCTGACTTCTAAGACTTCTAAGACTCTTGTTTTTTTTTTTTTTTCCCCCTTTGTGGACTTTTTGTTATAAAAAATAAGATTAAATCTCCACCTTTACACCATGAGATTTCTTCTGTATTTACTTTCCGTTTGCTGCTGTGAACAATTCAGCGCTAACTTAGTGGCTTAAAACAACACACATTTATTATCCTTCAGTTCTAGAGGTCAAAAGTCTGACATAGGTCCCACAGGGTTAAGGTCAAGGTGTCAGCAGGGCTGTGTTCTTCTCTGGAGACTCCAGGAGAGAATCTATCTCCTTGACTTTTAAAGCATCTAGAGGCCACCCTCGTTCTTTGACGCATGGCCACCTCCCTTCATCTTCAAAACCAGCCATGTGGCTTCTCCCTTACCCTGTTTCTGCCATCACATCTTCTCTCTTTCCTTCTGCCTGCCTCTTCCATTTGTAAAGACCCTTACTGGGCCCACCCAGATAATTTAGGAGCATGTCCCTACTTGAATATTACCTGATTAGCCATCTCAATTCCATCCTCAGGCTTAATTCTCTTTTGCCAGGTAATCTAACATATTCAAAGGTTCTGGGGATTAGAATGTGGACAACTTTGGATGGAGGGCTTTATCCTGCCTGGCACAGTTCTCTTTGCCAGGTTTCTTTCTCCTTGATTTTTTTATCTGTCTATGTCCTATCCATTTATTTCATCCATTCTTTAAGGCTCATCCTCCAGCTACAGCTAACTTGACCCTGCAAGTTACTCCCACAATATATTTTTCCAAACTTCTCTTAATGCAGGTAACACTTTCTATCTCATATTAGATATTTTTATGTACATATCTTATTGCCTAGATTGGAGTACAGCTCCTGGATGGGAATAACTGGGCATAAGTTTATATTCCTGTAAATAAAAGACTTCTATGTATATGTAAGTGTTTACTAACAATGCATTGTTGAAAAATGAATTAGATGAAATGTAACTAAGAAAAGAAAAAAGAGCCTAGAAAAGAGAAAGAAGGAGAGAAAAGGAGAAATGGAGAATTTTTGTAGATAATACATTTTCTCTGGAGACACAAAGAGATAATGGCTAAATCTCGGGCCATACTGTATCAACTCTACAGTCCTTTCTTGGGTGGCCAAATATGATTTGATTTGATCAATCATGTAACTCTTGATATACGGGACAGATGTTATTGCGGTGAACTGGGTAAAGGCCTTGAGATATTGAAGCATTTAAATGTCCACAAACTCCTTCTCCTCTTACATTTACTATGTCATAAGTTGTACTATCACCCAGATATCTAACAAACAACTGGAAATTGTGAGTCCTTATACCCAAAAGATACAAGTAAAAGACTTTACCCAATTGTTCCCTGAAGTTTTTAAGACCCCAATACATTAAATATCCTTGAATTAAGGGGTGTGAAACTAAATTATGGGAAACCAAATGACAAAGAACACAGGTTTGACATCCACTTTGGGTTTTAAACCCGTCTCAGATATCACTTCCCTAATGGGGAGTTGATATAATTTACCTCACAGTGTTGTTTTGAGGGACAAGGGAAATTATATATATATATATATATCCCAGACTACATTCCTGTGTGGCATTGGTTCTATGCAGAAAGGCACCAGCTAGTGGTCTAAGGCACTAGCTGATGGGTCAAAGGCAACACGAGGGAGTGCAGGAGCAGCTGTGGCTCAAAAGTGCCTTTCCTTCTGGTTAATGACAGTGGCCAAGGGCAAGGCATGGGACTTTACCAGCTGAGTGCAGTGGACAGATGAGCCCAGCAGATACAGCAAATGTTCCCTTTGTCTGTGCCCAGCCCCCACATCTTATCACAAATAAGTCCTGGCCATCTTTTTGATGGCTGTCATTGTCATTTCCCTCTCAATTTTAAGTTAAGAAGACTCAAACCCAAGCTAACAATGAACGTCTTAACCAATTGACAGCCCCCCTCTACTCTGAAGTGTCAGGCACCATAGAAACGTGGAATTTTATTTTAACTGGTCAGGCACCACGTGTGCTCAGTCACCAAGAGCCTTATTTATTATCATGATTGAAGCTAGATATGGGATTGCAGTTAGGGAGGGGAAGATAGTCATAATTCCTTGATGCCTTTTTAGAGCCTTGACTCATTTGTCCTGACTGAAGCCGAGGCTAGGAATGGAGAAATTATCGAGCTCCTCACTTGAAAAAGTGAGGAGCTGTCAGACATAGTGCCTGGCAACAGAGCACATTTGAAGAAAAGAGAATTTTATAAAGGTTTATGATGAATTGTAACAACTCAAAGCTTCCCTTAATAGGGAAAAGTATTGCTCGGAGGCTGGATGTGTGATGACTTGTGGGCAATCACTCTCTCCTCATTCCTTTACACCTTTGGGACAATAGCTTTTCACTAGGAAACACATTCCCTCTGTGAGTGAGTATCACTAGTTTAAATTCTGGACACGATAGCCTATGTGTATATTCTGACCAACAGTCATACACTAGTAGATCTAGAACACTGAAATGGTGCATATTCACAGAAAGCCCATTGATGTATAAGAAGAAATGGCAGCTCTTGAGAACTAGGAGTGAAAAGCTGATCTACGGTTTGTTCTTTTTGGCATGCCTAAATGCATTTGCTTTGCTAAATCCTATATTACTACATCACCCTTTGGACAGGATTTCACTTGCAAAGTTGCCAGCTAGTGAACATTTGCAATAGAGGCATAGGTACCAGCTGAGCCTTGGGCATGTCCTTCATTATTTAGTTGTGATAACTGGTGAGCATTTTGACAGATAACTAGAAATTGGTTAAGTTATGAGGGCAAAAGTATTGTAGATACTATATGTACAAAGGTACAGGCTACCCTTTACTCTCCCTCACACCCTCCAGAAAATGTTGGGGGAACTCTAAGAAATTCAAAGTGACTGGAATTTAGGGTGTATGGAGAGGATTCATGGGAGATGAGAGAGGAAAGGCAAAAAGGGCCTTTGGTTCCAACTTAGGATGCACTCCCTCTTAAGAGGGGAGATGGAAACTGTTTGGACAAATGACTTTCATTGTCATGTGTCTGTTTCAAGGAGTAAAGTTTAGCCACAGGATATTCACTGGTAGGTAGTACCTAGTGATGGGGCAGGCAGTCAGCATCAGGTTGCAATATTGCAATCCAGACTGGAGACCAGGCACCGTATTCCCAATGTGGCAGCACTGAGAGTTGGGGCCTTTAGAGGTAATTGGGTCATGAGGGCTCTGACCTCATGTATGGATTAACCCATTCATGGGTTTTGATGTGTGTCTTAGTCTGTTTTTGTTGCTTAAAATGGAATACATGAAACTGAGTAATTTATAAAGAAAAAAATTATTTCTTACAGTTATGGAGGCTGAGAAGTCCAAGATTGAGAGGCTACTTCTGTTGAGGACCTTCTTGCTGGTGGGGACACTCTTCAGAGTCCTGAGGTGGTGCAGGGCATCACATGGTAAGCAGATTGAACATACTAGCTGGGGCTCTTTTCCTCTTCTTATAATACCACCAGTTCTACTCCCATGATTGCCCATTAATCCATGAATGGGTTAATCCATACATGAGGTCAGAGCCCTCGTGACCCAATTACCTCTAAAGGCCCCAACTCTCAGTGCTGCCATATTGGGAATTAAATTTTAACATGAGTTTTGGAGGGAAGAAAGATTCAAACTATAGCAGCAGGGTAGACAGAAAAACTAGAATACTAGGCTGATTAATAACCCAGGAATTCAAGTATAGAATCTTAAACGGAAACCCAAATATCTGCCCTCAGCCCTGAAAGAGCTGTCTAACATCAAGAGTATCTGCATCTCAGGCCCAAAGTGTATTGGTCCTGGATTCTTTTTATCTTTCCTGACTATAGTGAAATATATGAGTCGGTGACCAATGTCTGAAAAGCTGGCATAAAGTATGGTGAGTACTTAAAAAAGAGGATCAGGCAAAAACCCCAACAGCTATGAAAGGAAGAAAAATCACCTGGGATTTGGGAAAGATTTGTGGAGTGTAGGACATCTGAATGCTTATCCGGATTTGAAAGGTTAATGGTGGAGGCAAAGGAACAGTCAAAAGAAGCCAAGGTCTGAAATAGTCAAGAGAGAGGACTCCACAGCAAGGACAAAGTTGTCCAGTTTGGGCACTGCCAGGATAACTGAAAGTGGGTTAAACTGCTTTCTTGGCAGTGAATGAAAGTCCAAGGGGCAAAATACAAAGGAATAATCTTGGACTTCCTTAGTGATTCTTACTCTCCTATTCAATGGGTTTTTAAATAATCTAGGAAGAACTCTTATTCAACATATCCTTGAGCCTTCACTAAGATGTAATGTTCTACTAATATTAGTTGCTGGGAATACAGAGATTAATAACAGCAGACATTTAAATAGTGATTCCTATATGCCAGTAATTGTTCTAAGACCATTACATATAGTAGCTAATGTCATTTTTGCAGGATATCTTTGGAGTGGGTACTTTTATTATTTTCTTCATTTTCTAGATGAAGAGCCTGAGGAGGCACTGAGATGTTAAGGCACCTATCCATGGTCTCCCAGGTGGTTGGTGGTAGAGATGAGAGTCTTATATAGGCATTTGACTTTAAATTTTGCCAGTGAACTACTGTGCTATGCTACCTTTTCAGAATAAATTATAGGTCCTGTCCTCACAGAGAATCAACTAGAGAGACTAAGACATGAGCTCAATTATGCCTCAATAAAATTGATTTAAAAATAGCGACTCCTACTCCTCTAGATGAAATTGAAATATAGGCAATTTTGGATATGAAAACCTAAGAGGATTTGTTACTAACAGACCTGCTCAATAAGTAATGCTAAAAGAACTTCTTCAGGCTGAAGACAAAAGATGACAGCAGTTGAAAACTCGGATCTAGGAAGGAATGAAGAAGATCAGAAATGCTGAATTTGTGAGCTAATATAAAGGATTGTCTTTTTCCCTTTTTTGGATAGATTGTATGGCTCTGCAATATTTCTGAGTAGAAAAATAAAACAAGGTAGCATAAGTCCAAAGACAACCTGAATATGTCATGTGTCCATGCTTCACATACAATTTGTTGGTGGAGTCTTTCCCTATACAATACTGGGAAAGATTTTTATCCAGTTAACTCTGCAAAGATACTTTGGGTTTTTTTTTTGTTTTTTTCAGATTCAGTCCCAAACCTCCAGTTCATTTATGACTTGAATGTCTAAATGGGCAACGTGCCAGTTCCACCTGCTTGAAACATCCCTGTTAGACAGCAATGTCAAGTGGTGAAAGGATTAGAATGCAAACTGGGAATTCATTAGAGTTGGAAGAAATCTCAGGACCCAGGTATGTTTTCTCCAACCCCACAGATGTGCTGGGGGAATGATGTGCAATGTAATAACAGTACCCAATTATGTCACCACATTAAGGGCCCAAGGATATTGACTATTTTGGAAAATGCTCCAAGCTTAAAGGAACCCTTGCATATGGAGAGATCTTACATGTGCAGTCTTGGCATGACTATAATAAGCTGCTTATGATAAAATGACTATCAGGTGCAAAAATAAGACTAGAGTATTTTTAATAATCCATAGATACTATATCATAATTTGGAGCTTATCTTAGGTCAGATTCCCTGAGAAGGAGAACCTGAGACAGGGTTTCGAGTTCCTAAAATTAATTATACTTAAGTGTTTGCATGTATGTCTTTTTTCATGTTTTTACTTTAAACCTGTCTGTATCTATACATTGATAGCTTGTTATTTGTAAACAGCATGCACTTATATCTTGCTTTTAATCTAGTCTGACAGCCTTTGCCTTTTAATTAAAATGTTTTGTCCATTTATAGTTAATGAAATTATTGAAATGTTTATGTTTAGACTTATCATTTTGAGATTTGTTTTCTGTTTGCTATATTTGTTTTGTAGCTTTTCTTCTACTTTTTCTGCCTTATTCTGGTTAATTATATTTTTTCCAATATCCATTTTAATTCCTCTGATAGCTTTTAGCCATATATCTTGGCAGTGTTTTTAGTGGTTACTCTATGGTATGAGGGACAAAAATTATCAAAAACTGACTAAAGAAGAAATATGTCATCTGGATAGCCTTACATGTATTAAAGAAATTGTTTTTTTAATTTAAAACTTTCTCACAAAAGTTCAGGTCCAGATGACTTCATTCTACAAAACATAGTTTAACTGGAGAAGGGAACATTCTCAACTCTTTTAGGTACACAGAATTAACTTGGATCAAAACCAGACAGTAATATTACAAGAAAGGAAAACCACAGATTAATAACCCTCATGAGAATGATGCAAAAATCCTTTTAAAAACAACAAATAAAATTTAGAAATACATAAAAATATAATATATTATTACCAAATGGGCTTTTCCACCAAGAATGTAAGATTGGTTTAACTTGAAAATCAAGCAATCAATAATTTGCCATATTAATACCATAATGATTAATGTACATGTGTGCATTTAAAAATATATTTCTGTCCTCCTTATGTGTATATTTTTTTCTATGTTGAACCTCATGGAGCATGTTTATACTATTTAATTGAATGCTCTTAAGTACAAATTCAATTATCTCTAACAATTACAGGTTTTTCTGGTTTTGTGTCACACTTTCTTGCTTCATATGTCTTGTGGGTTTTGATTGGATACTGGATATTGTAAGCTTTCCATTGTGGTGTGCTGCATTTTGTTTTCCTTTGAGTAATGTCATGTTTTGATAAGCAGCTAAATTCTTATGGATTAGTTTGATCCCGCTAAAGATTGTTTTTAAATCTCTTCTAGCGTGTATTTAAAGGGTAGCCTTTACTCCAGGGCTCCCTTATCTCCACCTGTAATGTGTGACTCTTCTGGTGTCTCTAGATTAAATGCTCAGTGTATTCTAGAAGGTTTCCCCACTCTAATTGGAGAGAACTTAATTCATTTCTGTGTGAATTTCAGCAAATTGTTTGTGTTACAACTTCCCAGTGATTATTTTTTCTCAGAAATCATTCTTTTCTGGCCTTGTGGGGTTTCATTTTACATATTCACAGAGAGATATTTATCTAAAAATTCCAGGGGACTCCTATGAAGATTTATGAAATTTTTGCTCTAAAATTGGTCTCTTCTTGGTAAAATTCTGCCTGAAAGTCTCATTGTCTCTCCTTTCCTGAACCCAATTATCCCTTGACTCCTGGACATTTTCCCGCACTGTAGTTTTCTCCTACTTCTTTAGCTGCTTCTCAATTTATTTGTTTCTTTACTGGTCTCCTCTTCCTCATTTTCTTTTATACCAGAATTTTTTTTAAGGGTTCTCTGAAAACAGTGGACATCAGAATCATCTGTGTGCAAGCTAAAATGAAAATTCCTGGCCCATCCCACATCTTCAGAATCAGCATCTCAGGAAATGGGGCCTGGAAATGTCCAATTTTAATGTATTGTTTAGATATTTCTTATGTACATCAACGTTTGAGACACAGCTTTAAGTGCCCACAATCCCACAATTTTCATGGCCGCGACCCCACCTGAATGTTTATGAATCCCAGAGTTTACCTCCATCTGAGAAAATAGCTTGGAAACTGTAGAAACAAATATTGAGATCCCTTGGCCATGTTCATGGGGTTGGACAAAGGAACCCACAAATCAATAAGCCAAAATTGTGCTCATCATCTTTTCCCCCTTTTCCTTTTAAGGTTATGTTAACACCATCTACCTTGCCACATATACCTAAACCTGATGGTCATTCATAATCTCTCTCTCTCTTTTTCTCTCATTCTTCAATTGTGCCTTCCATCAAGCTCTTGTATTCTATCTCTTTAGTATATTTCACTGTGCTTTCCTCCTTGCCATCCCTGTACATTGACTTTATTCAGTCCTTCTCATTTATCATATGGAAGCAGCTCTCTTTCTTAATTTATGTCTTCTCCCTCTGTCTTTAAACTCTTTTCTATCCTATATAACAAGAATAAACTTTCTAAAATGTAAATCTGTTCATATCATCTCCCTCCCCCAACCTAGTTAAACACTTGACTGGCATCCCATCATCTACAGAAGAAAGCCCAAACCCTCTGGCTTCAAGATAGGATATCTGGCAGGATATGGAACAACCTCCTCCCAAGTACCTTAGCCCTGGCCATATTGATGTGTTCTAGTTTTCCAAAGGTGCTGAACTTTCTTATGTTTTTATTTTAAAGAATCTCTTAAAGAATGATTTTCCCCTCCTGGAGTGTTCTTCCCCTGCATTTCCACTTGGATGAATCTTCTTATCTATCAGTCATTATTCAGCTTAAGAAGTCTTCCCTGGGTCCTCTAATATGGATCGGGTATCCCTCTTTTGTGTTTATAAAGAGCTTCATGCCTACCTCCACCACTGAATTTATCAAGTTGCATTATGATATTCTGTTTAAGTTCTCTGAGATCAGTGAGATCTTTGAGTGTATGACAGTAGGGACTTAGAATGTAGTACAGGGCCTAGGTGAAGTTAAATGGAAGTTTGAGTGAATACATCTCTCACTTTCAACAAAGCATGTGATCAAATATTAAGTGAATAAGATATAGATTTGTAAGTCTATTTGTAAGATAGATTTGTAAGTCTATTTAACCAAAGATTAATGACTTATTAATAAACCATTTAATAGTATATCTCTAGCACAGTAAAACAAATTTTTGCCTTTGTTCCTGCCTTTTTAGCATTTTAATCCGTGATATGGATAAAGACAAAGTGTGCATGCTTATCAAAACTGCATATCATACAATGTTGGAAGGGATTCTAAGTCCATAGATGTAAGACAGTTTAAATGGCTCAGTAGACAGGAATATTGGCTGGCAACCCAACAAAAAAATTAGCAACCATAAATAAGCTCCAGATTTTAGCTTCAAGTCAATTTCACAAAAATAGGATGAGTGGATTTGCCCTGGCATAGGCTCATGTGAAATAGATTTAGGTATGTTTGTTGACTAGAAGCATAATAAAATTCAGCAGTATGAAAGAGTTTCTAGCATAGATAACCTAATATTAATCTCAACTAATATCTGAATTCTATATTGGCTTGAGTAGGTATAGCCTTTTTAAATTCCTATTGCCACATTTTAAGGGGGACTTAGACAACCTATAGTATAAGCAAGCCACCTAGATAAATACAGTAGAAAAATATTATTTTATGGAGAGGTGGCAAATTGTAGTTGTTAAGAGCCATTGACTATTTTATTTATTCATTCATTTAACAAATATTTATTGAACACCTTACTACGTGCTGGGCACTGTTCTCAGAACAGGGATCAAGTAGTGAATACAACAAACTACATTCTAGCTCTCATGTAACTTACATCGTAGCTCAGAAGAAAGAAAAGGAAGACAAAAAAACCCAACTAAATACATCCATAAATAAATAAATGCGATCATTTGAAATATTATTAACTTTAACAAAGGCAATTCAAAGTGATTGTGAACACTTTGTATTGGGTGTGTTGGGTTATCAGGGAAGGCCTCCCTGAGGAGACACTTGAGCTAAGACTTGAATTCCTGAAGGATCCAGCAATACAAATATCTGAAAGCTGAAGTGTTTCAGGTAGAGGGAAGATGAAGTGCCAATGCCCTCAGAGTGAGAATGGGCTTGCTATTGTTGAGGAACTTAGCGAAGGTATTTGTGCTAGTGTGTGCTTGGGGAAAAGTGGTTCTAGAAGAAGTTAAAGAGAAAGGCAGGAGAGAGATTTTGTAGGGTCTTATTGACTATTGTAATAGGTTTAGATTCAATGGTAAGTCTTTAAAGGAATTCATCATAGCAGTGAAATTAGTGAATCATTTCATGGCAGGGAAAGTCCACTCTGGCTGTTGTATATGTACAGAGGATCCAGGGAACCAAAATCAAACATATGGAGCATAGTTAGGAGCTTACCCCAGTTGTATGAGTAGGAGATGGTAAAGTTCAATCGATACTGCAGGGTTGAGATAGAAAAAAGAAAACAGATTTGGGGTATATTTTGGAAGTAGAGGAGAATAGATTAGATTGGATATTGGGTATGTAGGGGGGATAAAGAAATCAAAGGGTATCTCTAGGATTTAACCTTGAGCAACTGAGTAGAGAAACATGTTTTGTAGTGGGAATAAGCATGTTTAGGCCATATTAACTTAAACTCAATACGCCTATTCAGACCCAAATGGAGATGTCAAATAGGCAATTGACTATAAGTGTCTGAGTCTCAGTGGAAAGGCATTGCTGGATGCTTAGGTTTGAGTTCTCACTGGATTACAGATTGGCTGTGTGACTTACAGCTAGACTTACTGGCTACTAGTATTTACTTCATGTGGATGTAAAATGCTGAAAATAGATACTGTATATAACTTTACTTAT